TGAAAGTGTCAATATATCGAATTGAATTACTTACAATCTCTCCAACATTGATCACCACGTATTTTAATTAAACCAGCTCCAAGCATGATTCGAGCAATTAAGAATCGCATTAAAAAAATAAATAAAATACTTGGTGGGCTCTGTCTATTGATCTTTGATAAACTATATAATGGAACGAGAAACATTCCTAAAAATGTTGTTTCAAGTATTTGTGTTTCCCAACCATATCTATTAAATAAAGATAATAGAAAAAAAAAGAATATTTCTTTTAATAATCATCTTAGAAAAATACCCATAAAACAATTGTCCAATATTATGTAGACTTGTATGAAAACACCAAAGTATAAATAAAATAATTGAATTACATCGTCCAGTAAATAATAAAAATAATCCTAGTAATGTTCCTGAACCACATATTGTACGTAATGATATATCGGATGTTTCCATAGAAGGTAAGAAATAAAAAATTGATGGCGATTGCCATATACCATAACGTTCTTTCATTCGTTTCATATGAATATATGCTGGATAAAGACCTTGATAACCGATGAGAACAGGTGCTTGATGATAAGCAGCAAGAAAACTAAATGTATAGACAAGACCAAGTAAACGAATGAACAAAATTCTTGTATAAAAATATGTATTTGATGAATTTTGATCAAGAAATATTTTTTGTAAACGAAATAAAATAGTATTTTTTTCTGTTGGCATTATATCATCGGAATTTTTTCTTTTTTCAGTTGGATTTGATGATTTAATTGATGTTGTTGTATTATTTTCATTGATTTTGTCTATTTGACTTTTACGACGTATAAGTTCCATCAAAGAAATTAAAATCGTTTATGAATGAATTGATATCAATCGGATTTTATTATTATTTGTTAACATACTAGCCATTGATTTTATGACAAGAAGTATAGCATATGTTTAAGTGAGGACGTTAGTTGTCAAGTCAACTTTTATGCTCTGATAGAAAATAGAAACAGCTTGAGAATGTAATTAATTGTAAAACAATTGCTAATACGATGAAAAATCTCACTATCAACGAAAGAGTACTTATAAAGTTAAAACTTGTAGTTTTACATTTAGACTATAAATGAAGTTTGATTGCATATACAAATTCGAAATCTACTGATCTTATCATTGTATAAATTTCAAATGGGAAGAACTTGATTCGAAGAGAGTCTTATAGAAGAAGATTCCAAGGTATAATGGTTGAAGTAATGATTCAAATTACTCTGTATGTAGTTTAAATCATATGAGATTGAATAATTTATGTTTAATTGATTTTGCTCGAATGGCGAAATTATTATTGACTACTGTATATATCGTGTAGTATACAAAATATAAGTTTAATAATATTTAAGATCAGAAATCTATTTGTGAAATGTTGTTGTTGTAATTATAAGTATACTTGTATCATCAAATTCATACAGTAAGTTTTTAGCTCGAAATTTAAGATGATTTAATATATCATTGCTTTAATATTCTATTCATGGCAGCTTGAGAAAGAAAGAATCTATTAATTTTCTCAATAAAATATCCAAAATTTTAATCAAATCATTTGTTTTAATTTTATTTCTTCAAGAGAATAATAAAACTACTAATAGTAATAAAAAAAAGAAGAAGAAGAAGAAGAAGAAGAAGGCAAATAATGAACAAAACACAAGATTGTCATAGAAAGCAAAATATTTATACAAATGAAAAAGCAAAGCAATATGTTCCTGTCTTTCAACAACTGCTGTATAACAGCATATATATATATATTTGAAATAGTTGTTTCATGGCATGACAACTTTATTTAATGATGATACTGTTGTATTTTCTTGTTTTAGTGTTGTCATTGAATTGAATTGTTTTTTTTTAATATTATTTTGATCTTTTTTATTTCTTAAACTACGTAAACGATTATTTGGTGTTTGAACACCAGCACCAGGCCATTCACATCGTTGATATGAATCATCAAATACTAAACTAGGTGGACAACGCATTTCAACTGCACATTGACTGTCACATTTATAACTAAAATAAAATGAAATATATGTCATAAAGAATAATAAATAAATTAAACAGAATACATACAACCATCCAGCTCGACCAGGAATAGCTTTCATTTGATGAAGAATATTGAGACCGACCTCACCACATAATGGTGCACCACGACATTTTGTTCCACCTGTTTCTTAAAAAAAGAAAGAAAAGTTAATCATACTAGAATAATTATTCTTCAAGTTATACCTGAAGCAGCTTGAATAGGTGTTTGTGATTGTGGATAGACAACAAGCGGTGTTGTACCCATAGGTGTTAATGGAATTGATGGTATTGATGGTGATGGTTGATATACGACTATATACAAAAAAAACAAATACTTATCATTAAAAAACAATAGAAAATAATATTTTTACCATTCGGATTACTGTTCATAATTGAACCTTGTCCTTGAGAATTAATAATATTATATGGATTACAAGCAACTTCAGATGGAAGTACACATGATCCTCGTTGTTGATCCCACCATAAACCAGCCAAACATTGCATTAGAATACCTTAATGAATCACGATACTCTATGAGCAATTGTTTTTTTCTCTAAATATAATTATATCTTACCTGCTGACATTCCATCAGGACCAGTATAAGAATCACACGCATAATATTTTGAACAATCTTTTGGATCTGGTGCAAAGCCTGTTGCAGCAAATGATGGACTACATCGAATAGTCGGTTGACTAATATACCATTGATTTGATTGTATACATGGTTGATAGCCAGATGATGACGAACTGAAACTTGAACCCGCTACAAATAAAAAATTAGATTAATAGAATAGATTATAATTTATTTGACCTGTTGAAGGTTGTTGTTGTTGTTGAATATTAACGATATTAGGCGAAGATGGAGGAAAAAAAGTTGGAGATATACTTCCAACTGGATCTGGTGTAAAATTATTATTATTAAAAACAACAGGAGCAGTTGGTACTTGCGCTGATGAACAAGTTGATTCAATAACTTCACGTTGTTCAATATTACCAACTGGTTGTCGATCACGCATTAGAATTGATTTATGAGCTGGACAAACATAAGCACCTTGTAAATTACATGGCCAATCACAAAAAACATTCTAACAAAAAACAAAATCATTTAAATAGATATAAATATATTAAATATTTTTTTTACATCTGCTCGTCCTTGTTCATTATGATGACTCCACCATAATTGATATCGATTTGGCATTGATGCACAAACAAATGATGACAATTCACCCGTTTCATAACAATAATGAAAAACATCACAATAATTTGGATTTGAATAAAATCCAGTTGTACCTAATGGACATGTAAATGATGTTTGAAAATCTGTACCCAATGCAATATAACCATTTTCAAGCATTGTACTTGTTAATGAAAATTGTTTACGTTTACCAATACTAACAATTTTTGGTCGTAATGTTATTGCAAGTAAACTTGTATTATATGCTGATGAATGACGTGCACGTGGACATGTTGTACGTGATGTACATGAACGTCGCGATATATCAAATGCACCTAAATGTGCACCAGGTAATGTTGGAACACATTCATAAACTTTTGCATCACCATGTCCTTTTGAACACCATGCAAACATATTACAATATTGTGCAGTTATATCTGAAACGGGGAAGAAACCTTCTTTTCCACATGGTGATACTGTTGGTGGTTTAAACATAACAGGTAGAATAACAAATTCTTGATTATAAAGTAATGTTGGACATGAATATGATGAAAATTTTGTACAACTTTTTGTTGTTAAATCAAATGTTGATACACCATCATTAATACCATCCGTACCTGTTTGACGACATTGAAATGTTCGTCGTGTACGACCAGAACATGCATGAAATAAATTACAAAACATTGTATCAGTATGAATACCATCTGTTATACATTCATATCCACTTGGATTAACACTACGTACTTCAACAGCTTCATAATAAGCAATAACTGATGATTGAATTGATAAACGTGAACGTGAATATGAATAACGTCGTTCTATTGGACAATTATTATTTATTGATAATGGTACACAATCACTTTCTCGCGAATCATATTGTGATTCAATACATAGAAATGAACCAGATAATTTTGAATTTGTACATTCATGAAAAACATTACAATATTTCGTATCTGGCATACGTATTTTTATACCTTGAATATTATATGGACATGAATAATTTGATGGATTTGGTATATCAGAATACATAATCATTTGTTGTGGTAATTGCATTGAATATTCAATTTTTCTACCCATAGCTAATAAACAACCTGGTCGTTGTTCATAATCTTGTTTTAATACTTGATAAGAATTTCCGTATGTATTCTCTTTTGATATCCATATTGGTTTTTTACATTGAGTTTTACATGGCCATTCACATTTAACCATTGAATCTAAACCACCAAAATATTGTGGATTAGTTGTATTATAAGTTAAATATTGATGTTTCCACCAAAGATCATAATTTAATGATGATGATGATTGACCTGAAGCTTTTGGACAACGTTCATCAAAACGTTTACCACCAGTACAACGATAGAATACATTACACCATTCCGATTCATAATAACCATCAACACGATTTAAACATGAAAATAATGATTTTACTTCAAATGTTTGATTTAATGTATGTGTTTCATTTGATGTTTCAAGCATTGTATATGAACGAAATAGAACATTTGTATTTGTACGTATTGTAGTTACTTGATTTGGTCGAAAAAATTCATTTGTTGAACATTCATTTGATGAAATACAATTTCCTGTTGATGATTGAAATACTCCACCATATGTATTTGTTAAACGATCAACACATGCATATAGAATCAATTCACCTTCTTTACAACCATAAAAAAGATTACAATAACGTTCATGTGGAATAATATAATTATCTGATACACGACATTGTGGTATTGGTTTAACACGTTCTTGTATTGGTATTGAACCAAAATTATGTTGTTGTTGTTGTTCAGGCATCATAAATGGTTGAAACATTTCACTATTTTCCATTGTTAATAAACGTCCATAACTAAATATACTTTTTGTTTTTGGACATAATGTTGTTAATGGTGCTGCACATTGACCATTGGGTTGATAGAAATATGATGTTGGTTGATTATTATCATTCTCAGATATACATGCATATAAATGATAATCACCTTGTTTACATACATGATATAAATTACAATATTGTTCATGTTCTATAATATATGATTGATCATATTTACATGGTAAAACAGATAATTCTGATAAATGTGTATGATCAATAACTAATGAACGATATTGTAATTGACTTAAATTTATTATTGAATTTTGACAATTTGAATTTCGTCTTGAATCACAACGTTCAGCAAATGGATCATAAATTCCATCTTCTTGTGTTTGACGATCAAAACAACGAAATGTTATTGGTGTTGTTTGTGTACCATCACATAAATAATAAATATTACAATATTGTCTTGATGTATGTAATTGAAAACCTAAATTTGTTGAACATTTTAATGAATCAGGATTACTATCAATAGGTATTGAATCATATGGATATATTCCACCTAAACATGGTACTTGATCTTTTGGCATACATAAACCTTGACTACGATCAAAAAAACTATCAATACATTCGAATGTTTGAATGGGTGGAACACCAATTTCCGAACATTCATAAAAAACATTACAATATCGTCGTGTAGGAAATTTACCAGTTTGTAAACAAATATAATTTGGATCAGGATTTTCAATTAATCTTGATGTTAAACTACGAAATGTTTCAACTTGTTGAGGATTCGAAGAATAAATCATTGCTTGATTATTCAGAAAAGCATTATTGAGATTTTCATAACCAGCACATTCATTACTGAATAATAATGCATTTTCTGTGCGAATTTGTTGAGATGATGTTGCGGTGCCATGAACAGAACCAGTACATTGAATTCGACCTAAGGAAAATGTGAAGATGAATGACTGAAATTTAGAAGAAGAAAAAAAAGAACGTACATGGCCAATCACATTGTTGAGTTTGTTGATTCCACCATAGATCATAGGGTGTATTTGTAGCACGTGGACAACGAAAATCTCGTCGACTACCACTAACACAACGATGAAATACATTACAATATCGACTGGCAAGAAAAACACCATCAGCTTGTCCGATACAACTTACATCGGAATCAACACTAAATGTTCCTAATAAGAAAATAAAATAAATCTGATGAGTCCTTCTCTCAAAGGGGGTAAAAATAGAACGAGAATCCGAAATCAGATTGACTTCTTTATAGTTAATATAAATTTACCATCAATATTTGATGATGATCCATTTGAACTTGTTCCTGAATTCGAATTGCCGGACGATGATGATGCACTTGTACAAAGTGATTGTGAAAAAACAGTTTCAGCTTCTTGTTGACTTTCACTAACTATTGAATCTGAATCAATAATAATTCCACCTGAACTTGAGCATCGTCGACCTGTTTCACATGGCCATGTGCATGCAGCTGTTTCTTGGGCAATACTTTGTGGTGTACCATGTTGTACCCACCACAAACGAGCACCACTTGGCATTTTTGGACATAGAAAAGCACTTGCTATACCTGTATGGCAACGATAAAATGCATTACACCAACGACTAGCATAAAAACCATCTTGTTTTCCTATTTACAAATAAAGCGAAAAAAAATAAAGTTCATCATATTCACTGTCTTTCAATTTACCTGAACAAGTAAATTGTTCACGTGATTGAATAAAAATTTTCCAAGGTTCTGTTGGTGCTTCTAAAAATCAAATATTCAATCAACTCATTCTATTTAATCAAATATCATACCAGTAACCAATAGTCCTCCAGGTACAGCTGGTATAGGTTCAATTGCTGTATGATATTGATTGGATTGACAACCATTCGAATTTCTACTAGCAAATTCACATCTTAATAAAAAATGATTTTAATAAAAATAAATTCATAAAATTTTTTCTATTCATATTACTTTTGTGTTGCGTCATCGAAATAAAATCTTTCACCTATTTGATTACATCCATAAGAACGTTTTTGTTCACCTGCAAGACAAGCATGAAAAATATCACAATAACGTGTATCACGCCAATGACCATCAATACGTCCTTTACAATCAAATGGAACATTAACAACAATTTTTTGATTTTGCATTGCTGGTGGTAATAGAATAAAATTTGAATATTTTGTTTGCATACTTTTTCCTAATATTGATGATGATTTATTATTCTTTAGTTTATGTTCCATAGAATCTTTATTTGTAGGAATTTTTGTTGAACGTTTACCTTGTCCAGTTAATATTAAACGATTGTTACAATTAACTAAATCTTCTGAACAACAAGAGTTCGTATTTGTTAAATTTGATGAATCAAATACTGTTCCTTCCGAACACATATAAACAAACGTACGACCTGATTGACATTTATAAAAAATATTACAATAATCTTTATCAGGAATTAAAATATTTAAACTATTCAATGGACATTCTTCAGGATAAATTTCTGTATCATAAATCATCATAGACGTCGAATTTATAAGTGTACCATTAGTAAAACCTAATGAACGACGAAATAAACTTTTACCTACATAGAAAAAATAAATTTATATTTCGAAATAATAAAAAAATATGTATACCGTCACATGCAACATTAATAGGATAATCACATATATTTGATTCTGGATTAAAAAGTAATTGATTTTCACATATATATTGTTCATCTTCACCATTTATTGTATTACATTTATGATATGTATTACAATAAACATTATCAGCATATAAACCTGTTTGTAAACATTTATGAAATATAAGTGTATTTTTTGGTAAACGATAATTTGAGATATCATTATTATTTATATTTTTCATTGTTAATTCTTTTGTTGAACCATAAAAAACTTTATCTTTACAATCATTTTGTTCTGGATGAGCACAAAACATTTTTCCTGATAAACCAGTTTTAAATATCGTTGGAAATGGACACATAAATGGTTGATCAATTATTTTATCATTTCGTTTTATACAAACATGAAATATATTACAAATATTTGGATCACTAAATTTACCTAATTGATCTTGTTCACATTGAAAATCTTTATTTGATGTTGATGATAGAAGAGAATCGGATAACATAATAGCACTATTATTAACATTTAAATTGCTACTATGTGTTTGTATCCATTGAATATAAGTTGTTTCACAACTTTGTTCTTCAATATCTATTTTAGAAATAAAATTATTTTTTTAAAAAAAATATTTATATAAATATATTAACCTAAACATGTTTGTTTTGTTTTGGAATAAACTTTTGCAATGGGACAAACATGTGATTCAATAACATGGCATTCTTTATTAGTACAATTACATTTATGATAAATATTACAGAATTTTTCATCGGAATAATAATTTATTGTTGGATTATCTGTTGTACCATGTTCTGGACAACGTTTAAATGATAGTACTTCATTTGGTAAATAGATTGTTATTGCTGATAAAACGCTCAGGAAACCTATTATATATTAATAAAGAAGATAGATTCATTTGTGTTTACTAAGTTTAAATTTACTTACTTAGAAATAATTTCTGTCTCATACTTTACACATATATATATTTATATGTTTATAGAGATATATATGTTTGAAGGAAGAATAGGAGTAAGTGAGTGAGTGATGAACTCAGCTGTCGCTCACTTTATAAATTGACAAATTGTTGTTTATCACACCGCTTCTTTCTCTCTCTCTCTCTGTCTTTATTTCTCTCTCCCTCTCTTTCTCCCACCTACTCTTTAGTCAACTAAATTCCATTGGTGTAATCATTATTTCGAATACCATCAACCAGTTAGTTCTTTCTCTTTCTCTCGTTCTTTTCAAAATACAACAGAAGAGAAAGGATTAAAATGAAAACGAGAATACAAAAATTAATTGAAGAATAAGTAGAACTTTATATTCTCGATCATCTCTTTTTCGTTCCCATATATTTCTTAAGTCGATCGCTGTTGACCTTCTATATGATTGCTATGTATTCGTTGTCGTATATACATATATTGCGTACGTGACGCGTCATCGAGCAATTACACACGAACAGCAAGCTCTCTTTTTTTTTCGCACTCGCTTATCTCCAATTACATCACGTTCATCTCAGTAGTATAGCGGTGCCGTATTAATCCAACATTTTATGTCCGTCCCTTTTTGTTCTTCTTTGTTTTGATCGATCAAACGTGTTCATAACAAAGATAATATATATTTTTCATGTTCGATGTGATTATTACAGTAGTCGAGTTCGTGATGTAAATATTGACAAACACAATCTTTTGTAGTCCACCTACATACACGTATTTATTCGAACTATTTAATAATTATTCTGATGTCTATAATTTGTATCGTCTGATCATTAAAGTTCATAATGTGAAGGATAAAGATTCATAAATAAATATAAGTCTACTGAAGTCATTTATAAACTATGTACTTGAAAAAAAAACAATAACAACCTTGTTCATATATATTATCTTTCATTAAACTTTATAAAACTATAGTAAAAGAAGATCATCTTAGAAACAGGAGTAAATCATAGAAGTTCAAATCCTGTTTCTTTTTAGAGGTTAATACTATCAA